TTTATCGGGTCTAAAACCACTCGGCTGCGCCTCGTGTTTTATACCCGATAAAACACTCCTGCTCGTTTATTAAACATTACTTAGACTCTCCCTCTCACTCTCGATAGCCATTATATATATACTTGATTGCAAAAAGGTTGTAGTATACATTTATACAAATATCTAATGAGATGCAAGATATCAAATAAGATGCAGAACGTAAAAAAGTAACTTATTTAGTCTTACTTATCTTCTATATCAGAGACATAAGTATTGCACAAACTCAAGTTAATAATGKTTTTTTTCCACAAAATGTAGTGGCTAAGCAATCGTATTTAAATTGTTTGCTCATAAGATTCATAATGACTCACCTGGATTATCCTCACATAAGGAGGCAACATGTGAAAGCCCTTTGAATTCTTTGTTGTACCAAACGCCGAACCAAGTAACTCAAGAACCTTCACTACGACCTCTGGAGGGTCACCAGAGTCAGGCCGCACCACTAGGATACCTACCATCACAGCAGTGAATAAGTCGTTATTTTAAAGCAGCATCATTGGATGATCAATGATGTATATTTCATATTTCAAGACTATATACCTTTTCGTTTAACAACGAGTTCCTTTAACTCTTTGCCCCACAAATTTTTGCAGGCATTCCTAAAAAAGGGCAAAATATGAGGAGGAAGAAACACCCACATTAGTGCTTATATATCAGGGCCCGGTTGTACGAAGGGTGGATAGCGCTATCCAATGGATAAATCCTTCTCCAGTGGATAAGTCGATATCCAATAAATTCATCCAGTGGATAATATTAAACCATTGGATAGTGCTATCCCCCCTTTGTACAACAGGGCTCAGGAGGGTGATACCGGCAGTAAATTGCTCAGGTTATTATAATATAAAATTATACTTGTAAGTTAAGCTGGGATGAGTATTCCTTACCATATGTCATAGCTGTCACTAACACACGCCATCRATCCCGAAGGAAACTTTGAATATAACAATAAATGGACAGGTGTTATAAGAAATTAATAGCAAATGCAGAATACATTTTGCTGTAAGCGATGCGAGCATTGACACTAATCTTGTCATTTGACAAGATTTTCGGAGCATGCAGTACGTATGTTCAGTGGGGATCAGCGGGGACGCTCGTTGACGTCTGAGCTTGTGAAAAAACAGATTTCACTTCATGCCTACTCGCAGCACTTTACTTGCCATCCGCTAAAGTTGTTCATGTGTTATGTTTAATAAGAGAACAGTCATGATGGAAATCTATGAACGATTTTTTTTAAAGGGGGACTAGCACGAAACTGAATCATCCACATTTTAATTCAGCTGAAACTTTACTGGAATAACCCTTAAAGGTCTAATAATCGCTGCTTAAAGGTTTTTCCTCATATTCGGATGGGAAGTATTATATTTTAACGAATTCGTATAGGAGTCTGTGACATTATAAACTCAACACTAAACATCGCTCCATACATTTCTTTGTAAATAACTTCATGTTTTACTTTATTTCTATTAAACCCAAAGGTCCGCTGAGAGACTTAACGTATATAACATGGTTAGAATCATTTCATGGTACCTTTTCTTCAATACTGAGTATAAAAGATATAGAAGATATTTTGATTACAAAATACAAAGAAATGTATGGAACGAGGTTTAGTGTTGARKGTATGACRTCACAGAGTCCTATAAAARTACAATACTTCCCATCCAATTATCAGGAAAAAACTTTAACCAGTGATTATAAGACCTTTTAGGGTTATTCCAGTAAAGTTTCAGCTGAATTAAAATGTGGATGATTGTCGTGCTTGCCCCCCTTTGATAAAATAAATATAAAAACACCAAAAAACAAAAACCATATTAAAACATGTAAATAAGTGTAAGTGCACTATTCTGACCAGTACCTTTTCCAGCATATTCCTGTAAGCATCAACTTCACCCTCTTTTCCCCAGGTAGTAATTGTGCTACAATGAAAATATAAGATAATATAGTTTAATTGATTTTAATAAGTGATTTTAGGAGAAAATTACTAGTAATTTTTTCCTGGTGATTTGTGATCAGTTATGGCATCAAATTCAAGATTAGCTACACCATGTTTTTTATCTTTAAGCAAATTTTATTGTTTATTGGTGAAACAGATAACCAATTGAAAATCCTTTGTGACTATATTACTATTTTCATTGGTAGGAAAGCCGCGAAATCGCTCCTTGCGTGATGCAATCTTCATGTACTCTGGTGTGTATTTCCTACACATTCTCACAGTCGACAGCCACGTCAGATTACAGTCAACTCTCGCTATTACAGACACCCTCTGGACCGTAATTTAGTGTCCGCAATAGCGAGAGTCCGTAATAGCGGGTTGCGGAAAAAAAACACTCATTTTTATCTTGAAATTGTTTAATTTGATTATATGACAACTATCATTATTGTTTATCAAATAAAACAAGCAATATAGAATCAAAACTATGATAATTATTCTAATATTAAGCAAACTTTATTTTATAAGATCGTATGAAAACTATGAATAAAAAAGTAACGTAAAATTAAAAATTGCATGGTATAGTACTGTAGTATACTGTACTCTGACTCTCCTAAGATTTGAAAAAGCTATCGATTGTGCTTTGGCATGATTTTTTTTTTTTGAGTGCACTTTCTGCTACTTTATTGCTTAAACTTGAAAACCCACTAGCCATCTTAGTCAGCCCACGCTGAACAAAAACGTTCAATACAGAATTGTACTGTATCTGGTTATTTTTCAATAAACCACTTGAAATTATGAATGTACTGCAGTACTTAATTACAGGATGTGTCCGTTATAACGAGAGTTAMACAACGAAAACGTGCGATTGGGACCACACGAAGTGTCCGTAATTCCGTAATAGCGAGAGTCCGTAATAGCGGGAGTTACTTTCAGTCATTTCTTTGTATTTTTCGCCGGGGATTTATTCCCTGTCCGTAATATCAAGGTGTCCGTAATAGCGGGGTGTCCGTAAGGCGAGATTTGACTGTATTTGGGTACTTTAGAGGCTTGCAAGTAAGATAGATTCCTGGCCTTTTGACTCATCCACGCAAGCCGTTAAGTTGTGTCGCCGAAGGTTTTTAGTGTCTTGCTTTGTTCTTTCTTGTTTCGTTTACAAATTATTTCATGAAAAGAGCTATAGTAACGGTTTGTATATCCTATTTAGAATCTAATAACGAGTTAATTTTTATCATTCTAGCTTTTAGCTATTCTAGTGTATTTTTATTCGGCCCATTCTTGTTACCTTTCGTTCAATTTGTTTTGTGTTGTGTTTTCTCGGGTTGGTGAAATTTTCTTACTCAGGGCCAGCGTAAAATATTCTAGCTTTAATAACTTTCGGGCTGTCACGGGAGCCTAATTTTTAGGGCTGTTAGAAGCCAATTTACTGGGGCTGTTGCCTGTTAGAAGCCAAGGGTTGTCAGAAGCCAATTACTTTCGGACTGTCAGAAGCAAGTGGGCTGTCAGGTGAGATTTTTGCTTTCTCTTCCTTCATTAGTTTCATTAGTTTGCTTAAGGCCCCGTCCACACTATGCGGGATAAATTTGAATCCCAAACTTTCACACCGAAACCGAAAAATAAGTTTTCCGTCCACACATGAAAACGAATAAAATGCTTCGCGTTCACACTAGTCCGATCAGAGGCGGCAAAAACGCTTCATTGCACATCTGAGCATGTGCATCGAAGTTGAAATTGAGCCCGCGGTGAATTTTTAGCCTTCCCGCCATGTTCCCATGACGATCATGACGTCATCGTATCCGAAGAAATTTGGATACGAAATGTTCTCCGTCCACACTAATACGGTTAGTCGGCGTTTTCAAATTGTTCCACTCTGGAGACCGTATTCGAAACAAATCGTTTTCGGTGAAGCATTGTTCCGGATTCGCCCGGACTAGTGTGGACGGTAGGCCTAACCGAATAAATAAAAATTCGGATTCAAATTTATCCGGTATAGTGTGGACGGGGCCTAAGGTGATGACAAACGGTGCAACATATTGCACGCAACATTGCAAGCAACAAATTTGAATCCGGGTGACAAACATTGCAACAAAATAACGCAACATCGCTTGTGTCAGCCTGCTATGCTAAGATATATTTGGTCAGCAGTTGTAAATTTGGTGCAAGCTGATTGGCTGAAAATTTCAAAATATTGCACGCAATGTTGCAGCCCTGTTCACATGATGAAATTTGTTGCGCGCAATGTTGCAAGAGTAGAGCTCGATTCAACTTCAGATTTGTTGCATGCAACAAGTTTCAGGGGTACACACGCTACAACAGTCCTGTTGCGTGCAATGTTGCAACGTGTGTCACCACCGGTTTCTGGTCCGGTTCAGTTAGGGGGGGGTTTCAATCCCCTCGCATATATAGGTTGCTTTTTATATTTCCACTTTTCACTTTCATTTTCTTTCATTAGTTACAAAAAATCCTTTTGTTTCGTTTCATTTTAGAGATTTTCAGAGTGTTGCAATAAACATCTACGCCATCGCCAATACCCTATTACTACTCTGAGAGTWGTGCGATGGGAATAGCAACCCCTCTAACTGGACCGCGCCCCTACCATCCGTGAATATGGTTGCTCAAGGGAAATCTTGCGCCTCCCCTAGCATGTTTAGATTTCGTGTTTTGGGAAGGAGTGTTATTTACATTTTATGTCGTCATGTGAATGCCTCTTTTTATGCCCATTTGCTTAGGATATGTAAGGCTCATAAGTTGGGACAAGCCGAAGCCAAAATCGGTTCCATAACTTAATCACGCAGAGACAATGAGCGGTAGGAATATCAGTGAAAATGGTTTACTATATTATCGGCTCCGCCTCATGCACCTACGCTTGCGTGCATCCAGAACACGATCTGAGCACGCTAACTGATAAGCATTGACCATTCCTTAAAATGAGTGTTGATTGTGATGACWGCTATAGAGCTGCATAAATGACTTTAAATAATAAATAACGCATAGACTGCGAGAAATCCCACTTTTCCAGACTCAAGAATCTGGAGGAAAAAGTGGGATGCTCACAGTGTAATAACATAAGACGCCGAGAATGATTTAATCATGTTGGTTCTACCTGTGTTCTGCAGCAGGAATGGAGAAACCTGCCATTTCACATCCATAATAATTCCTAAAAAGATAAAAGAAAATCTATCAGCGCTCATGAACCATTGTGCATGATAATAAGGCGCTCACATAGCTTAGGATCTCACAAACATTTCTCAAGTTTAAACGCAGATTTGCATTTTAGTAATCAAATTAGTCTCAATTTATCAATAGCGAATAGTTAATTCTCCTGGTTTCACGAGTCTCAGAGTCTTTCGAAGTCTCCTGGCTTTTTGTTACTCATAGAATTAGTGGTTAGCCCATACTACTCCTAAACGTTGAAGGTAAACAACACTCCCACTGACATGGTCTTTCACTGTGATTAATTAAAGAGGAATACAAACGGATCCCACAAGAAAAGTTCCGATGATCTTGAAAAACAACCTATTATTTTTTATCACTATCATTATAAACTAAGATGATCAATGTGATTATTAGTATATTAATTAACTGTAAATCACTTAATGTTACCTTGCCATGACGATTCCTGTCACAGTATCTGTGCCACAAAAGTTTACAAGATGTGCAGCTCCACCAATTGACGCTGACTGTGAAATGAATGAGGCATCAGATTCCCATGCAAACATGCACTCACATTGGAAGCAATGAGAAAGTACTTTCAAATTATTGTAATTTATAAATCATAATATTTTTTTGTATTCAAACCTCAACAGAAGTGCTTCCTCTAAAGCCAAAATCATGGAGCTTGAAAGGAAGTCCATCCAAGGAGTCAGCAGTCTCACTAAGATACTATAATCATATTAAACACACTTTACTGAGGATTTAAAGCACACATGCATGAAAAACAAAAAAGACAGCCAAACAAATGAAAATTTGAGTGGGTAAAATTGAGTAATGATTCACTCGATTGTTGTCCAATAATAGACAAAATACTTTATCTGGTCAGTATGTTATAAAGGACTGGTCATAAAGGAAAGGGGGTTGAATGGGAACTAGATTTGTAGGAGCTAGCCCAGTATAAAATCAGGTTGGGTGACTCCCCCCCTCCCCCTCCCAAGTCTTCATTCACAAATTGCAAATGACCCTCGCAGACTATCAGGGATGTAGCTAAATAAAATTACAGATGGGCATTGTCACTCAATAGGGCCAAAAGCCCATTTATTGTTCTACAATAAATCCAGTCCAACTATGGGGGTGAGGGCATGCCCACCCAAGAAAATGAATTGTAGGCTCTCGAAAATAGTATTTTGGAGGTAAACTCCAGACAATTCCATAACATTTTCAACAAACCGGAATCATAGCTTTCTTTTGATAAAGTGTTCTGCTTTATTTATCTTAGAATTTCAACCGCTTTTTAATATAGCTAAACATTTTCAATCAATACTTTTTTATTCCAATTCAAACTGTAACAAACATTGCGTTCAGTACAAATAAAATATTCAGGCATTGATGTCACAATGTTCTCAGTTAAAATCCCTATTCTAGGTGGGGTCTGGGCATGCCCCTCAGATTGGAAATGCAATTTTCATCATACTGGGCATCAAATCGATGGATAAGCATTATCTGTTTGTACAGTTTTGTATACAGCCCACCTCCTTTTTTAGGAGTTCAAAATTGCGTGCCCACCCCCTGTTTTTTAACACTCCCCCCCCCAACCTTTACTTATGACCAGTCCCTAAGAGCAGGAAGACAGTAGAACTAATGTTCTTTATAACTATATCAAATCAAGGTACTTTTTTATTATACTACTGTTAACATGATTTCGTCATTTTACTATACTCTTGTGGCTCATGACAGACAAAACGTTTTGTAATTTGATACTTAAAAATAGAATAGTGTTTCAGTGCATTACTGAAATCAATACCTGTGCAATGATCTTTTTTTGTTCTCTTGAATTTGTAGCAACTGTGGTTGGATACCAAGTCTGAACTAAGACACTCTGTTAGAAAACCAGATATGATGTAGGTTTAATTATATTTCTAAAGTTTTACCAGTTAAGGGATAATGAGCGTATAGAGTACCTATACCCCCAGACATACCAAAACGTCTGTAAATTGGTCAATTTTCTAATAAAGTTTGCTTGGCCGATATAACACCTGACATAATGAATTTTAAAGTTTGTAGGGTTACTAAAAAGGTGCTCTTTCAGTGCTGGTAATGGTTTTTCACTCAGTTTAATTTTAACTCATTCGAATTTGCGGCTGCCATTTTGGCAAAGGGTCTATATTGCAACGACTAATTAATGACTGGACTAGGATAAAAGAACTGATCGTTGACCATAACATCTATACATATATGTTAGTGAAAGCATCTGGTCAATGAAGGGAATGTGAAGAGATCAGTAACTTTCTAATAGAACCAGACATTGGACCATATATATTAGTGCTGTCATTTTGTTATTGTTTTTTACAGAATTATAAAGCAGAGTTCTTTCTTACTTGAATATGATTAACAAACAGGAAACAAAAAATTACTCTTTACCTCAACCCAGTTTGTCAACCAGAAGCAGTTGGGATCAGTGTTTTGCRCTGTGAAGAGAACTAAAAGAAAGAAAACCAATTCTTAATTGATTGAAAGTGCTTGTGCTGCTCAATAGTTTGAATATAGCCAGCCCTTATTGCACAGAATTAATACTTAAATGCAAGAAATCAGAATGCAATAAATTTTATTTTGAGGCCATTCCCTGAATTGATTTTTATGTGACTTGAACTTACCGTTTTTTACAGGCACATCACTGCCTTCAGGAACTGCTCTTATTCTGAGAGGTAGAAAGCCATTGTGATGTTCAAGAATATAGGTCCAGCCTGCCAAGATATCACAGCCATTCAAGCATTAGCTAATAGCTAGTTTGCAGCTAGTACTGCATATAGTAATGATTAGTCTTGACAGTAATGTCAAGACTATGTAGTAAAGGGTAGAAATCTCATTACCTCGTATACCTAGTAGCCTGTTATGCCCAGTTAAGGCAAATTTGCATGCGTTCAGCTTCACCCGTATGTCCCCTCCATCCTGCCAAGCCTTTCTTTGGTCATATGTCTATATACTGTATTTTCATTTATATCTTTTATGTACCATAGTTTCTATGTTTAGTATTACATTTCTCTAGTAATGATCGAATTATAATAAAGACTGCCAGAGCCCAATCAGCTGTGTCTTATGTCGGGAGCTGTCGGGAGGGGTTTGGAGTAATGTCAAGACTATGTAGTGAAGAAGGATCAGACTCATAATAACTTGTTATTTAGTCAAGGATTCAATTAAGGAGCCAGTCATTTATTACCTGGTAGGGGGAGGTAGTTTTTCAAACAAAAACAAAAATCCAAACTGAGACTGACTGGTATATGTGCATTCGACTTGGGAAAGGTCTATTGCAAGTACTAGCTGTATTCCGGCAATGAGATAAAGGGAAATACCATTGAGACAAATATCCTCAATCAACTATTTAGGTTGACATGTAGTATAAGTGACATTGTTATACATTTGACTCACTATCTCACATGTCAAGCTAATTATCTCCAATATCCTCAATCAACCATTCAGGTTGACATGTAGTATACGTGACATTATTATACATTTGAATAAGGTGGAAAACCAGTGAAAACTAGTGTAAACGTCAGTGTTTTCAGTAAAACAGTTGATAGATAGATAATTTGTAACACCGTATGGTATGTAAAAATGAAACTGACGTTTCGGTACTCCGGTTTACTCCGATGAAGGACTAACGTCCGAAACGTCAGTTTCATTTTTACATACCATRCGGTGTTACAAATTATCTATCTATCAACTTATTATACATTTGACTCACTATCTCACATGTCAAGCTAATTATCTCCAATATCCTCAATCAACCATTCAGGTTGACACGTAATAGTATAAGTGACATTAGTCTCCTAGTGAGTGTTGCGTGACGACACTAGAGCAGTTTTTGTATGAATGTGAAAAACTCGGTGCCGTTAGCGYGATGTGCCGTGACAGTGATGCTTTCTGGAATTTTAATTGGCTGATTTTTTTCACACGCAATTATGATTGGTCTTGCATTGCCTTGACCTTGGTGTCACCGTGTCTGCACCGTGTTTATGCCGGGTTCTGGGTATTTGATTGGATGGAGAGTAAATTCTTGTGCAATGTGATTGGTCTGGCATATCCCTTGCTGTCATGACTGTGTTCGTGCGTGAACTTTTCACGGTCATACAAAAACTGCACTTCTAATACTCCTGCGTAGGAAACGAAAGTGATATGGGCGGGAGGCCATTTTCAGTCTGAATGGAGCTAGATTTAGGGATGGGAGAAAGAAATGACTTTTCCATAGAGGGGAGAACATCAGCAGCAAAAAAATGATGGAATAACTCAAAAAAAACCTTAGTGACATGAAGAGCAAGCTTTACAGCAAACTCAGGTTAGATGATTTTACCTAGTTTAGTCTACACATGGTATGCGATCATAGGCAATATCTCTTCGTGCAGCAAGAAAGGCGGTAACTGGATCAAGAGGTGGAAGTTTATTACTGTCAGATCAGTACAGGTAACTCAAGGAACTTAAGGAACTTAAGGAGGTAACTCATCGGGTTTATTAATAGCTCAAAGTGAAATAATTAAAACCAGAATTAATGCCAGACTTACCATAAGGCTTTATTCRAGACTGAGTGATTATCATTTTTTGATACGAGTATTAGAAAATAACGGGAGCACACTAATATAAACTCCGTAGTATGTGGCATCTCAGCGTCTCATTTTCAATTTCCAAAGTCCTCCGAATTTGAAGGCTTATCCTTTTTCAGTGCTCATGGAATTAGGGCTTATTGGAAGGGGATGGTGCTTATTAGAGGGATGGGGGGGGGAGGGGGGCTTTAATAGAGGGATGTGGTAATATGATTACTTATATATCAAAATATGTTTATAGAGATCTATTATTGAAATACATATAATTCATCTGCCATAAGTAAAGAAAAGCTTACGTTCAAAAAAAATTGTCATCCTTTCTTAAAACTTAGCTCTCTCTCTCTCTCTATATATATATATACATAATGCAAGAGCACTTAAAAAAACAATTTGGTTGGATAAAAAATACCTTTTTCATTAAACAGATCTGTACCAAAGTGAAGCTTGTAAAATTCTTTTGCTTCCTGAATCTTTTGCTTTGTTACCACCTGCCCAACAAGCCATTTCTATGAACAGTTTTTAGTAGAAATCACAATTAATAATGACCAAGTAATATTAGAACAGGGAAGGGTGCACGTGGTAGTACACTCACCTCTCACCTCTTCTTGTTTGTGATAGTTACATTTTACAAAACTTTTATAATTGGAAAACTTAAACTGCATTTAGATATATCAAACCAGGTATTTTCAACCTTGTCTGATAAGTGTTCATTACAATGGCACTTTTTCCTCTGGTTACCCCAAATGCTGCAAAGTATTATGGGTATGTTAACATAGAGATAATTAGCCAAGGGTCATTATTAAATGGGGGGGGGGGGCACTATTTTGGGAGATAGCGCCATTATTTTTCGAGTGCCATTTAGGGGAGGGCGCATTGGGGGCCATTAGTTTTTGAGCTTGAAGTTGGTTCTTTTTTTTCAGTGGATTTTACACTTTATTTTTGACTGATTTCTTTCTTTTCTTTTCTTTTCGTTWTGGCTTTTTATTTTATTTTTTAATATTATTTTATTTATTAACAAACATAAATCATGAGTACACATAACAAATAATACAAATAATTACAAATAGTGGTTACAGAAGTTGTTAAATAAAGGTTAAAACGCTAGGGCAAGGGTTTGCATTGGATTTCAAGAACAAGTGCCGCAGGCCTGATGTCTTGAATTTCAATTCAGATCCAAGGACGTGTGTTTAAACTGATTTAAAAAACAACCAAGTCCTATTTTTAATGTTTGATGGAGGGTTTGAATTTTGATGGAAAACCTGTCCCGGGTTTTGAACTCAGCCCCGCTCTCCCCTATTAGTATCAATAATGCTGAATTCAAAACCCGGGACAGGTTTTCCATCAAATTTGAAACCTGACTATCACAAAAAAAAAATTCAGGGCACCTTCTTATCAACACTCATATAAAATTTGCAGTTTCCAGTGAACTAAGCTTGTAAATTCAGAACAGTGTAATGCAGAATAAATCAGCCTTTGTACCTTTTGTATCCACTGCTTTCAGACCTACAGTTCTAATTAAGGGTTCATTGCATCAATCCAAACACAGCTAAGGAAGTTTAGAGTTGGTATTCTTTTGATTGTCATGAATATAATTCTCAGTAATTTGAATTTTAGTACTTAAAATTAGTGGTTGTATTTCAAATCTTTAAAGTCAAAATAATTTGATTGTTTATTAAATTTTTTGCTTGATATTGTACCCTTTTCAGCAATTTTATTCAATACTTGAAATTAGACCTTTAGCTCACCATCGGTGCCAAGATGGATCAGAGCTGTTACGTGAGTTGATACCAAAATTGTTCTTGGAATAGAATAAACAGACCTCTCAAAACCTACGATTCCTAATCTTAAAGGACAATGCAGTGAATCTACTCATGAGTCAAGCTGCACTAAGACTGGGTTATCGATTAGACTTAACGAATGGCCTAAAATCAAACGATTTAATAAACCTTGGGCCTCTAATCTTACACACATGTACTTGCCCATTATAGGTTGGCTTTCAGAATTATGCCAAAATAGCATTAATGGATATTTGTTAAAAAATATTTTCCAAATGTTTTGGGCTAGCTTTCAGCAGCTCAGCRCACACTGTCCCCCACAGGTAACAATCCAAACAAATCATCTCATTCATATTAAGCTACATCGCCTGCAGATTGATAGGCGCAGGGTACAATTTTTTGCATTCAAATTTCTTGCCACATGTTTTTAGTGGCAATTAATCCCCCCACCATTAAATAATGGCTGGTCCCTTTATACTCTGGGCCTTACAGCTCTTTTTATATTTCTTTGACCCAATCCACTCCAGAAGTTTAGCATTTTGGCTGTGGTCAATCAAAATTACCCGAATTAAGTGCATTCAGATTGTGAATGATAGATATTTCCACGATGGGAAAGTGGCTCTCAATTCGCAGGAATATTTGTCTCTAGTGATCAGAATTAAACTAGAAATACACTCGACCATTATAAATTTGGTTCACAGAAGACAAGTTGGATCACAGAAACATGAAATGAGCTGTGATAATAATAATTAATAACAGAGTTGCATTTACCTTTAGAATGTACTGGAGCCCAAAAAAGCATACACTTGAAAATTTCCCACCTCTGCTTTCAAAATATGAGAAGAGAGTAGATGTTCCCTCTGGATATTGTTGGTGATGAGACACCTGCATGATAATCAATGACATGATTTGAAYGTAATTATTATTCAAGGACATTCATGGGCTCTAAGTCAATTTTTTTAAATTCTGCAAGATGAATGTACTTTATTATACTAAGAGTAGAAAAATAAATGTGCAAATAAACAATAGGGTTCATGCACATCAGTGAACCATATATCTGGAGGTAAAATTGCTCTTCTTTCATGTAAAGGGTGGTTGCATGAAGTTAGAAAGTCCCTGTGTTTCTAACTCTGTGTCAATATCTAATGACTAGATAGGTTATTCAATTTTAACATCTATAACTAAAGACTACAAGTACAAACATTGTTATTATAAGGCTATAACAACCATGCAGAGCTTTGTGTCATATCTGTGCATCATGATTAACAAATGCAAATACATTATACAACACGTTTTCTGACTCCTAGACTCTTAATTAAAGAATCCTTAAGTCAACCACAATGCACCTACAAATCCGCCATTTTGCCTGGGCAGCTCAAATTTAATGCAAAGCAAATCATTGTTACGTTTGCAGTGCAGTATGTGTATTGTGGTTAAAAAGGGTTTTTCATCTTCTGATACCATGCATCCACTGATAACTTCATCTACTCATCATCATTGAATGGGGAATGGTTCTGCAGTCCCCTTCAGAGAACAGGCCCATAAAAAATGTAATATGGCACCTGTCAACTTCATCTCTACTATTATTAGGCCAATTGGAATACGACTAGTTATCAATTTATAACTACATAATTATATTACTGACTTTATTGGAATATGATTAGTTAGCAAAACGTTAGTTAAAGGTAGCAAATTTTATTTTAAAYATATAGCATGATCAGTCCCACTTTTCACTCCAGACTCCGTAAAGACGAGTGTTTTAGGATTCCTGTGGACTTGCGTGGAGATTGGATCCAAGTAAGCAGCTGAGTATGGGTACTAGTGCATGCGTGCATGTGAGTATATATGCATATGGAATATGCTCGTTACAAATTTTCAATTATTAAAGTTATTATACTTTTCCTCTCCCTTCTCCCTGCTTATTCCGCTCCAATCTTTGTGCGCACCCACAGCAATTCTGAGTTTAGTGGGGAAAGTGTTATTYTTAATCTAATTTGTAAAAGTTGAAAAGTACGAAAAAATTAATAAATTCTCTAGATTATAAATTGTCATCAGCATGCTGCGCAATTTTTCAGTAGTACATAATTTCAGCAAAGTAATTATTTGAAGCAATGGAATTTAGCTGTCTCTTTGCTAAATTTTTATTTAAAAAATCTAATAAGTGGTGCAGGTTTTAAAACACAAGGTATGGCCAAGTTGTTTTAGGCCTCAGATAAAACACAATTCACCATTTTCCAAACATCGGTTCAAAGGTCAAACACAAARCATTCAGTTGAGGTTGCAAGGTTCAAATTTGAATAATCCTTTGAAAGTACCTTGGCGCCTCGCTTGAGCACTTTGTGTTTGACCAGTGAACCAATGTATGGAAAATGGTGAATTTGCAGGTTTATTGAACAGCTTCAAAAACTTCAGGAATAATACACAAACCTTTGGTTGTATAAAGTGACCATACATGTTGCAAACACGGACTTTTATGTAAAGAATATTTATTAAGAAGACTTTCTTGGGTATGAAGGTCCATATGCCACTTCCTTGTTTACGTGATGTGTATGGTCGCTCCAATTGGTTCAAAGGCTCATTAATTATTATTGACTTTTTGAAGGACAATAAAATACATAAAAGACTAGTTGTAAATTAGTTTTATACTAATAGTTTTGTAGATAAAAGCATGTGTACAATAATTATGTTAGTTTCAATGCAACTAAATAGGTACTACTAAGGATTAACGATTATTTGTACTCCTCTGGACCAATCAAAATTGAGTAATTTTATTGAGTGTATGCAAATTAACTCTTTTTTCTGATTTWAAAAAAAATTTGATGCACCACATAGGAAATCAAATCGTAACTCGCGAAATTAAGGATGGTAATTCGCCTAGGAAGGCTCGGAAAATTGATTCCAATCTACTGTTTATTTACATGTGTATACCGACCGACCGACCGACCGACCGACCGACC